TATATGTATTTTTCTATTTAAAATTTCTTAAACATTTTTTATGTAGTGGCCCGAAAACTTGCGCCGGGTACCCGGTCATTGCCAGTCTACTCCGATAGTAAAGTACCAGGTTACCCGTATAGTAAAATACTCGAGGACCCAGTGGTAATCTTTACCAGGGTATCGAGGTAGTTTACGTGTAAATACATAGGTATTTTATTACCCGGATACCCGATTTATTACTACCTGGGTAGGCTGGTAACGACCGCGTATCAGACAATCTGACCGGGTAGTAAAATATTCGATTACCCGTAAAGTACACGGGTACCCGGTAAAAACTTGTTATCTGGTAAAGATTACTCGCTATTTTACTACCCGGTTATGAAATTACCTACGAATCGAAATATTTCCTTAGCAAAAGTTTAATGATTTTTTTTTACAGTTTTAATTTACTCCCATTAGGGTAGAACGTTAGGATGGTAGGAATTGGATTCTGGTAGGTAAGTACTAGAACGCGGTACTTGAGGTCAATGAACTTTGTAAAAAAAAAAACAATCTTCTCGAGACAACGATATATCATACATTAAGATTCGACTGTAAATGCCGAAGGCATAGCGAAAAATTTAAGAAGGCAACCCTTAAGTTTTTTCAGAAAATATAATTTGCATATACTCGGGGGTATACGACGAGCTTTTCTTCTGATGTGGTCCAATGTACACTTGTGATCAGTTAATTAAGCCAGCAACATTTTGATCAATTTTGGCTATTTTTCTTTTGTTTATTTAATGTTTATTATTTTTTAATAAAACACTAGCTCATTATATAACAAACACTACATAAATCCAGATTTCAAACTTTGTGCAAAAATTATGAAAAATCTGCAAAGTATCAGCTAAATTTTCAAACTTTTATTAAGATTTTTTTTTAGTATGCAGTTTAATAGGTGATTAAGTTCTAGGGTAATAATGTGCAAGTCTTAGGATGCTGAAAAATTCCGTTTGATTTTTAATTTTTTTTGTTTTGGACTTCATGACGCATTTTTTCCACACAAAAAAATTTTCGAATTTTGTATGGAAAAAAATTTGTAATGCAGTCAGAAAAAAAATTATTAAAAATCAACGCGATTTTTAGTAACTTAAGACTTGCACATTATTACTCTAGAATTTAATGGGTTATTAAACTGCATACTCAAAAAAATTCTTAAAAGTCTGAATAAAAAGTTGAAAATTTAGCTGAAACTTAGCAGATTTTTCATAATTTTTGCATAAAGTTTGAAATCTGGACTTATATGGTGTTTGTTATATAATGAGCTAGACTTTTATGGAAAAATAATAAACATTAAATAAATGAAAGTAAAATAGCCAAAATTTATCAAAATGTTGCTGGCTTAATTACCTGATCACAAGTGTACACACCCACATGCATACATTTGTATATTGAATATTGTGTTCATATAAAGTATAATTAACACTTTGATTTGGATTCTATGAATTTCTCTATACATATTAACACAAATTTGTTTTTAGAATCCTTTTAAAATTTTTTGGAACTTTTCATTGTCTTTTTAGTGTTGCACTTAATGTTTTTAAATTTTTTGCATTGATCATTCTGTATAATATATTTATGCATGTTTATTTTTCGTTTCATGTGATATAATTTCTTTTCTTTTTATATATGTTTACAAATTTTTTTAAGTTAAACTCACAGTGGAAAAGTTCATTTTCACTAATCCGAGCGTTATCCTTTTATTTTCCAGTTACAGTTTTTTTTTTTTACCAAATCCCAACTAATACTTTACGCAATTAAATAGCATATAAACGCGAATAACATTTGGCAACGGCTTTTATAGATAACTGTAAGAAAGGAAAATGAGCAAATTAAAAAAATATATATATATATTTCCTATGCAACTTTTGTAATCAACTTTAATAGGGGTGTTCATTAAACCCTATAAACGAACTGTCAAAATTTGTATGTAAACTCCTTTACACATTCTGATAAATTTCTCTAGCGATTTACCGGATTAATCTTGATAAACTGAAGCCAATGCAACTCTGCCGCAACTCTAGCTAAAATTTTTCTTGCGCAATAATCGAGAACCGCATAAAAATTGTGCACGCAAATTCAACAACAACGATATGATCCTGATAGAGATCTAGTTCAATTTATTGTCCATTCTGTTTGTTTTGTTTCACTGATAATTTGGCCGCACAGTTTGATAGCAGTGACAAATGAATTCATACACAAACAGAGATTCTGACATTGTTTCTTTTAACTTGCTTCAAACAAATCGCCTTTATTTTAAATATTTGTTTAAAAATGAATATTATCTCGTCTAAATATAATTTTTTCCCATTAAGTGAGGTAATTTCTAAAATTTCTTAATCCTCGTGCTAGTAGTAGTTGCGATCCCGTACGAGTCCGGACTAGTCGGAAATAGTCAGAATCAGTCAGATTTTACTGGAAATCGATCCCGTACTCGGTTCTCTGACTATTGAGAGGACAAAAAGGAGAGTAAATACGGTTCCCTCTCTGGCAGAAGTTACCAGTTTTAGTCCGAGAATTTTTTGCTGGTAAATTCTGGTAAATGTGTCAAACGATCAGCTGTAGTGTGTTTGGCAACCAAATTGTAAACAAAAGAAAAGTGCACTCTGCTAATTCATATTGAAAAGTATTTAATTACTTGTTTAAGTGGATTCTAATGAATTTGAAAGAAGTTTTGGTTATTTACATGTGTGAGCTGAGTGTGTTTACATACAAAATAAGCAAAAATTTACAACCAAAATTTGGAGGTTATGTTGAAGTTGACAGAAATTACCATTTTTTACTAGAAAGCGACCCCGTACTTTTCAATGTTACTCTCTCGCTCTGAGCGAATTCTTAATTTTTGACAGTTTTACACTAGTCCGAGTCCGAGGAATACGGGATTGCACCTAGTATAAAATTACAGATACTGAGCTCGATAACCAAAGAAAATAAAACTATTGTCGCAAGTGTAAACGAAAGGATAGTATGGGGCGTTCATGTAACAGATTGCTTAAATTTATAAGAATATCTGCTTGATAAAGTTATCGGTTTAGATGAATACCACTACTATTTATCTCCTTATAATGGCATTAGTATGATCTTCACACAGATGCGGTTGTAAATTGCGCTTACGTCTGGTTATGTCCACAATTCGAGACATTGCGTCTAATGATTTTGTTATCTTGTTCGATCCGCTTGGCAATGTGCACGCACCACTTAGTCTCTCATTAACTTGTTTGCGACAAGTTGTCTGTTGGGACTGCTCTACAATTGTACACATTATATGCACATTTGAACAAACATAGTTTTACTTTCCTCATTGTTAATAAGAAAACGGAGAGTTACCGCAATTTTTTTTTTTTAATTTTATGTTGAATCTTTCTGTTTGTTTTATAATTATTTACACGTAATAAGGAAAATCAAGTTTAGCTGAAAATATGTACATACATATGTACTATTTATGTATATGTATGCAATAAATAATGATGTCATACAGACATTGGGAGTTTTGTTTGAAAAGTGTCAGTGAGGAAATTTATGGTTATTGTGCCACTTGCGTTGCACCTATGCATATATGTACGTACGTATGTACATACGTAGGTTATTTTAAATAACGCGCTTGCGGGTGGATAGAAAGCTAGGGATAACGATGACTCGTCTTTGAATTGGCAATCAAATCCACTGAGTATATTTAAAGTTCAATTTATCGATATATGTATCCAATAAACATTTTTGTTAAATCTCAATTCGAGATGCATTTGAGAATCAGTCCTTTTCTTAAATCTCAAACGTTAGTTCTCAAATGCATCTCAAATCACCGTTGATAGCGTTCTCAAACTAAAAGGCACTTTTTTAATATGGAATTTTCCTTTATTTTCAAATTGAGATATGTTAAATTCTCAATTTTTTCTCAAACATGACTAGAGCGGAACGAAATGAAATCCAGTTACTCTCGTTGATAGTTTTTATAGGGAAGGAATTTTTATTTATGCAGTTTAAAAATTTATTCAATAGCTTATTTATTCAATTTGTTTAACAAAGAAAAATACGGTTGATGTAAAATATTAGTTGCATAGTTTTTTTTTTGAAATTAGACAAAATGCGAATAACAGCGACCGCGTGGTCGAATAGCCATTTTGCGACTGATATAGCAGACTACCGATGGATTTCGACATCTGTGCCATGTTGACTCGGATGAAACAGAACAGAATGCTAAAACATTTTTTCTCTAATGTTTCTCAAACCGTTCTTAAATTGATAACCAATGCTGAAAATCTAATAGAGAAATACGATTTTCTCAAACGTTTGAAAATTTTTGTTCCAGTGTTTCTTGGGTACTTTAATACTTATTTAACAACATACATACATTAGAATTGGTTATCAATCCCCTTTGCTAGTAGCAAGGGAAGTAAAAACTTGCTATTGCCCTTGTTTTCTACAATCCCCTGAGGTTCGCAAATAAAATTTTACTTTTTCAGGCAACCACCCTTACAGTGTTCATGACGCATGAACCGCAAAGTTAAACATCGTCAGAAAATCAATTTTCAACTCTCATTTGATTATACAGAAAATTTTATTCAAGGCAAGACATTCCCTACCAAAAAAACAATAGAGTCGGCACTCAGTAGGATAGTAAGAAGGATCAGGGAACTAGGTGAGCAAAATGCCATAAAGTGAAGTCGAAACAACCGGTCCTAGTCTTCAATACTATTACTCCAGTATGTTTATTGAAAGTACCCCTACGATGTGGAACCTGTTCAATCGCTGTATGTGGCCTCTTTCTTGTTCGGCTCTACACAAGCTTTCTTCGGCTTGGGCCGAAACCGAAAAACGTCGCCAATTGCCTTTCTCCTTCGCGAGGTTGCGTCATCCATGGATGCCGAACAATCGAACAATCTTTCCACCAGTACCTCGTCATCCATGCGTACAAAATGCCCAAGCCAGCGCAAGCGTTAAAAAGCTCGTACAGTTCGTTGTTGTAACGGCATATAAATTTCTCAACGAGTTTTTGACCAGATATGAATGTTCGAATGCCGATTCAAAATCAGCTAGTGCAAAAGCAACAATAGAAATTTATGTATAGCGTTTTGCTACGCTGCCCAATAGTTCTTTTGAGTGAACCGTTCAGTTGTAGTTCGCTTACCTTACTGAACTAGTTCTTTAGTTCATTCAGTTGAAGTAGTTCAATTGACGAATTATCATATTACATACAAAACAAAAATTTTGGTAATTTTAATTCACAAAATATTTTTACAAATATTAAAAAAGCACATAAATATGTTTAGGAACATAAATTGCATAAAACGTATGCAGTCTTTCAACCGACGGCATACATTTGCAGTAACGGTAATCTTTTTAGCATTATTGTTATTACACAAATATATTTCGTTACATACGTAGCATATTTAATTTTAACATCGTTATAATCATTTAAAGAGCTTTCGTATAAATAAAATACAAATAAACGAGTATATAATATAATGTGTAAACACTTACATATTTCTGTCCAGCTCTGAACACATAGAAAACGACATCACAACATCTAAACGCCAGTGTGTTTCAAGTTTTAACTGGGAAAGCTGGTTTTATTTTAAAAGCCTTCTACGCTAGTTTAGTATTTTCTCTGCCCCGAAAAAACTCGTTTGCAAGGTACTGAAGTAGCTAAAATGCAAAAGCGTTTTAAAACGTATCTGTAAAAATGGGGATACACGTCATACTTTCGTGCCAAAAATATTTGGATTGTGATCCAAAATGAGAAATTTTAACACTGGCAAATTTAGTTCAATGCGAAAACCGAACTAGTGAACTAGTTCATTGAGATGAGCTAGCTCTTTAGCACATTTAGTTCAAGAACTACCCAAACCTACTGTCCAAGCAGTCGCAATGGCCGAGTGAGCAAAGCAATAGACTGCCGATGGAGAGATCCGAGTCTACGGGTTGTGGTGCTTTTTTTAATTTTGTAAATTTTTTTTTTATAACTTTTTTTTTTTATTTAGATTTTATTCTTTGAAAGACAGAAATATTTTTTTGTTTAATTAATTTTTATGATATACTAATTAGGAAACGTACCCATACTACGTGACCCTTTCAGGGGGGGAGGGGAATCTTTAAAATGCCACGCTTGGTCACAGTGACGGGCGGGGTGGGGGTTGGGGGGCATAGGTTTTTATCACGTATTCAACATCTTCTAAGGAAATCTAGAGTTTCTTCAAGCAGCAAGCGCCGTATTAATAAAGACAAATTCAAATTATAAGCCAAATTAATTTTTTGTTAGCAAGAATATATTCAAAAATCGCAAAAAGTGGGTCACGTAGTATGGGTAAGTTCCCTTAGGGTTATAGAATTATTTCCTAATAAATTGTAATTGAACTATTATTTCTTCGATTCATACAAAATATTTGTTCATTAAATAGCGTCTAGCAGATGAATGTATGTATGTAGTTATTTATTTTTAACATGGCATTGGAATTTGACGTCAACGTTTACACAAATATACGGAATTATATCAAACTATAACAAATTTGGAGTATAATAAATATTTATTATTAACAATAATGCAGCTTTTTTCCATTATGTATGTATTTTTAAGATTCAGGGATTTTAAATTTTGTTCCTACAGCATAAACTCGTCGTAGTGTATCTGTACGAAACTTCATTACGAACGGATTCTATGAAGGCTCTACGAGTTTCGTTCGTAGCCATTAGGATTCTGTGATAGCACTTTCGTAGATTTCGCGAAAATCGAAGCTACGATGGATTCTGTGATAGCCCTGATTTTCTCGATAAAGCCTTTGAACTATAAATTATTTGTGGAAAACTTCCGGTTTTAAAGATAATTGAAACGCGATCCAGTTCACAAATCACAATGAATGTAAAGAAAATGTTTTTGAGCGATTAAGATTTATTTAATTTTATTTTTAAATTTTATGGTTCACTTTTTTAGTGAGGCACCCTAATGTACGTAAGTATGTGTTCAAATCATAAGAATTATGGGCTTGTTCGAGTTGCAATCACAACCGCAGTGTTACGCGAATTATTAAAGCATCGCGTTCGCAGTGAAATTTTAGCAACATTTTATCAATTAGGAAGTTACAACAGTCTTGCAAATTTTCATTAGCTCTGGAGTGTTGCTGCTTTTATTAGGTGCCTCGAATGCCACAAAAAAAAGGAGCTAAACGATGTTCACATGAGACTATTTTACAGGAAATTTTAGTTGAAAGCTACAATCGCTTGGTGTGAACGGCCTTTCAGTTAATCTCTTGCAATGAAGTGGGGCGCAGCAAACTTTTAATTCGACTAAACGTTGCCGTAACCAAGGCTATAAGACCAAATAAAATGATGTACTTTACATAGTTAGTTGAATGCTGGGGTGTAGGAGAACAAGGGGCACTACGATTTGAACGCACACATTCGGACGGACGATCATACGGCAAAGCCATTCTATTAGTATTTAATTCAGACCCCATATTCTTTCAAAAGATCTTCTGCAGGCCCACATGAATCGCATACCCTTAGCAACAGGCCAAGATGGGAGTTCCGTATATACACTGACGATCAAAAGTGAGTGCATTGTGTTTTTTCCTAAATATTTGCAACGTTTTTCAAGCTAAAATTTTTTATTTTTTTTTTTATAAAAATATGATTGATGCTTTAATCAAAACCACATGCAGTCAGTCAATAAAGTTTAGGTACAGCGAATTTTTTACAATGCGATCAACTATTTTTTTAAATATTTTATTTTTCGATAATTTTTTATGAAAATATGGTTAATTCTACCGCAAAAACCCTGACAATCAAAGTTCCAAACGTTGTGCAAAATTAAAGAAAATTCTGCAAACTTTCATTCAAATATTGCACTTTTTATTTACGCTCTCTAGAAAAAAGCTAAGTATGCAGTTTTTTAGCCCATTCAATTTAAGTATAATAAAGTGCAAGTGTGAGGAAGCTAGGACTTACCATTGGTTTTTTGTTATAGAATTAACCATATTTTTATAAAAAATTTGCGAAAAATAAAATATTAAAAAAATAGTGGCCCGTATTGTAACAAATTCGTTGTACCTAAACTTTATTGACTGACTGTAAGTCAAACTTTATGCAGAAGTCAGAATAATTCAAGGAATTTTCGTGTAAATTTTGAACTTTTTAATCTTAATTTTCAGAAAATTTTGAGTACGCAGATAGATAGGGTTTTTAAATCTAGTAAAAGAAGCCGCTAAAATTTTTAAGCGCGTTGATTTTTAAGATTTTTTATTGCTGACGGCTTTTTACACTTTTTACCATATAAAAGGGAATTTCTTATAGAATAAAATGCGCATGCCTGTTTGCAAACAAAATAAAAAAATAACGCTATATTTTATAAATTGCACTTATTATATGCATGAAACCGCAAAATGCATCAGAATAAAATATTCATTAAAAATCAACGCGATTTTTAGCCGTTTAAAACTTGAACGTGTTTCACTAGAATTACATAGCCGATCAATCTGCGTACCCAAAACTGTTCTACAAATTCTGATTAAAGAGCAAAAAATTTAGATTTTAGATTTGTTGAATTTTTCTACGTTCTGTGTAAATTTTGAAAGTTTGACTTATGCGGTTTTGACAAAAAAAAAAAATAACTTGAAAAACATTGCAAATATTAAACAACAACCATCTTGCACTCACTTTTGATTGCCAGTGTATGTACATCGTAATTTTTAGATATTTGGTCTTGTCGAAGTATTTTAGCAATATCCCTCCAAGAGCGACCGAACCAGGGTTGGAAACGTTACAAGAATAGTTTTTTGAATATTTATGCTGAGGCCCTCATTGGCACCCAAAGGGCTGCACTTGAAACAAAACGACCAAATTTTCCCGTAACTATAATTGCCACGTCATATGCACCGTCACCATATTCATATAGTCGGATTAAGAGGTCGTCAACCAAACATGATCTATGCATCGGAGAAAGGACTCCTCCTGGTGCACAGCGACTCGTGATTATAACCTTTACTGGAGTGTTGTGTTAGGTTAGGTTAGGTTATTCTGGCTGGCTGACCGCCCCACATAGACCAATAGGTCCCCAGAGATGCCAGATGGAGATCGAGGTTCAGTTAAGTATGATCGAAGTATACATCATTTAGGATGTCAACACTTTTTGAGAATTTCAGCAGCACTTGAGGCCCAAGTGTTGTCATGTCTTCAAGTTTATTAAACTCTGGAGCTCCGAGATATTTCAATTGTGTTTTGTGTTGATAAGCAGGATAATGGCATATGATGTGTTCTAGGGTCTCCAAGGAGTTCTGCAGTCTATTCGTGCCAGCGATAGTATAAACCGGGTTTTGTGCCCCGTTTTCTAGTCTGCACATGACTTTGAGTGTTGCCCAAGGACAATCCAATTTCGTGCTGGCGAAGCAAAGCGTGGATCCCACCAATAGTAGAAGGGTCTATGCTTCTTTGACCCTATGCCCCGGAGATAGAACCATAGGCAGTATTATAGAACCGCCCTCGATGTCCAATAAGGTACACAGAGCAATCTCCTTAGCGTCGAACACGCTTTCGATTTTACAAAGCAGGGGTCGAATCGCCGTGGACGAGCAACTCGTCACGTAAAAATGAATATTTCGGATTATAACAGTCATGAACGTACTGCTCGTCTTGTGTACCGAATGTTATAATTAGAGATATGAATTTTTACGTGACGAGTTTCTCGTTCCGATTCGAGTCCAAGGGGAAGATTCTGTAACCAGTTAGCGACAATTTTCGGATCGGTATCGCTTTTGTTGACGTATGTTATGAATATTTTTACGTCAACAAGTGCGATAGCGACCCGAGAGTTGTCGCTAACTGGTTACAGATCTCCCCCCAAGGCTCCGTTCACGAATCGAAAACCGTTCGAAAGAAAATTACGTGATACGGGTACGTACACGTATGTCATAATCCGAAAAATGTGTTTTTACGTGACGAGTATAACGATTATGATGTAGTGCTAGACATGGCAGATAAATTTTAAAACCTACATGGGAAAACGGCACAAAGATTATTTTCCTGGGAATAACGCTATCCAACGGGCCAAACACAAGAAGGTCTGCGGAGCACACGCGCAGTGTACCAAAACGTATCCTACGCCTAGTTGGAAATGCGGGTTTCTCGTCCTCTCCTCCGCTTGAAGCGACTTACTGCTCCCCGACATGTAATTGTAGTTCTCACCAGGAACTGTCTGATGGGAACCCACGCTATTAGAATGTGTATGAGTCAAACGATTACTGTCGGAGCTGCCGTGACGTGGAGGAATTCGAAAGTGTAGAGCATTACCTGTGTCACTGTCACGCATTGGCGAAGGCTCGTCAGCACGATTCAATATCTACGATTTTCTACGTTTCATTACGTCAGTATAAAATTCAAAATATAAGAAACTTGCAGTTTTTAAGGTTATGAAACCCTTACATTCAGACAATTTTTTTAACCAATAATAATTTGGTAAGTTCAAAGAATCAATACGAAAATATTACATACCGCATACAATGTGACCCGCTTGTGGCTTATTTCTGCTTCAGGAATTGCGGTTTAAATCACATCAATGATAAATTAAAGGTTTTTCTATTAATGTTATGGTAACATTGATGAAAGATTGATGAATATGTTTGTATATGAAAATGTCAAATTATATTAAGTAAAAAAAAAAAAAAATCTATAGAAAATATCTGCTTATGTAAAAATGTATATGTATGAGGAATATTTTGAGGTTAACTTGTATATTTATGATATTCTTTCAGAGTTCTTGGCATCCCTACATACTGTATCTAACGTTAACGGATTTATTGGCAACAAATATTTGAACTTAGCGAATAGCTATTTTATGGCTGTTCGCTGAATGGATGTTTTGAACCTGTAATAAAATAAATACATAATAATTACATTGAATACTCGGACATAGAAAAGATGAGTGTTATAATTCGTTTGCAAAATTTGCCGTGGTCGGCAAATGCATTGGATATACGGCAATTTTTCAAAGGTCTTTCAATACCGGATGGAGGCGTTCACATTGTCGGTGGTGAAATGGGCGATGCTTTTATCGCATTCAGGTAGATATTAAAAATTGTTAACTTTAGTATTGGTTTTTAAGAAAATAGTAGGGTAAATCAATTGAGTCATTCTGATTTTGGGTAAGAAATGTGCAATAAAAAAAAATTAAATGGATTACAAAAATATGAAAGGGTTACATGTGTCGAAAAGGTAAGCTAAAACATCTCAAATTGGTATCAAGAAATTTTGTTTTACTCTTGGAATTTCGTTATTCTTTTCGGAAGCATTTATCGCGTACTAATTTTGGAGCTAAAGATGTTAAAAGTCTTAAATCCAAAACATGTTATCGATTCCAAGTCGAAAAGGTTACTACGAGTACACGTTAATGAATAGTGAAAAGTCTTTAACCATAAATCCAAGCTTCATTGCAAAAAATATATCAGAGTTATTGCATCTCAATGATTTGGATAATCGCGAAGACGGTATCGTAAGTATTTTGTATATACTAACGAAGACCTTAGGTAAAATTTTCCATAGCTTGGTTGTTTTGTGCAGTATTTAGTTGTAGTTTTCGTCGATGTATTCTGTAAACCTTTCACAGTACAACAGCGCCAATACTTATAACTACTTCAACCGCAGTCTGCACCTACTAACTGAATACATCCTGCTGTTTGTCCAACATTTAGTAACTTCAACAAGAAAACAATCGGAATTTTTTTCATGAAATAAAGGGTTTTCCAATAAGAGCGGGTGGAAGTTTTAATGGAATAGAATGGCCGAGTTTCTCCTCCAATTTTGTGGTGTGCCTCTTGATGTTGTCACATAAATGGAGTGGCCTACAGTTTTAGGTCGCCTCCGAACGGCAAATGGATTTAATGCGAAGCTTTTTTCATGGCAGAAATGCATTCGGAGGTTTGCCATTGCCTGCTGAGGAGCGACCGCTGCTAGAAAAAACTTTTTCTAATTTTGATCTTACGGAGTGATAGTACGCACCTCTAACCACTCAGCCAACATAACACCGCCAAATATAACACCGTTTTAATGTCAGCCATGGTTTTTTATAATGCCACGGGTCTGAGCGTTCCAATTTTCATTCACTCTTCCGCATAGATCCGGCTGAGTTCGGGCTAAGGCCTGGATTATGTTGGCTTAAAGAGCATCGATCGATTACGGTTTATTGGCGTAGATCTGCGACTTTATGAAACACCATAAGAAAAAGTCTAGCGAAATCACATTGCACGATCTTGGTGACCGATGCACGTCACCTCTGCCAGTGATAACCATACCTTTAAATTGTTAATGCAGAAGGCGAATAGTGGCGTACGCCACATCTCATCCACTTCCATATCGTTCAATTTGGTGTCAAAGAAATCGGTTGTCATTGTTCTGTAGCACTCAGCGTTGACTTTGATGGCCTCAAACAAACGTCGTTATCAAATAAGAACGGTCCAATGATACCGGCGGCCCAAAATACGCACCACACCGTAACTTTTTGTGGATGCTTTGTCATCTGGGGAACTTCGCGTAGATTGGCGACGTCCATATACGGCAATTTTGCTTATTAGCATAGCCAGTCATCCAAAATTGTGTGTGCCATAAAATAGGCGCAACATTTAACTAACCAAAACATATTTTTATAATAAAATTTTATCAGGTTAACGTGCTGCTCAATCGTGTAGCTTGGCAAGGTGATTTGGCATCAGTGACTGAAAAATGGATTAAAGGTTAGACAAACGCCACGAGCACCAACAACGCCGCCAGAGAGCGCGAAAATCTACCCGCCCAATTGAAAACCCCTTTAGTTTCGATATTAAGTAGGCCTTCATTTTCTAAAAAACTAAGGTTTATTAGCTTCAACGCGATTTAACTGTAAAAACAATCAGTTACCATCTATAATTGTGAAAGTATGTTTTAGAAATTAGTTCCATATATGTACATAGGTGAAACGTTTTAAGGCGATCTTGTTTGGTTCCCATCCAAAGGGCCAAAGATGTTTTAAAGTGCGCCAAAATTTGTCCTGTGTTGGAGCCACAAATTTTCGGTGCACTAAAATGTTACCAAATCGCGGTATTGCAGAGCTGCATTAAGGCAGGAGGATGTGGTAATGAATGAAAGATGGTCCAGCCAAGGCCTTGAAGGCTGCTCAACAGAAATTGTCTCGAATGTGTTTGTCTCTGAACACTATCAGAAACTGTCTGCGTGAGTTCTAGATCCAATTACAAACAGCAATGGTTAAACCCTTACTAACCACAAATCAAATAAAAATAGATTTAAAAAGTGGGTGGCTTAACATGTACATAGATGATGATTGGAGCCAAGTGGTTTTAACAGACGAGTCCCTCTTTTCGATGATTAATACCATTAAACGTGACAGGTCCAATAAAAACACATCGATCTGTTAAACATCCAAGAGAGGTTCATGTTTGGGATGCTTCACGAATAATTTGGATGCCAATATAGCGCCGTTGACTTCTACCATCAACGGTGGCCAGGACACCAGGACTGGGCTCTTAAAGAGAGCAATGACTCACACCCTAGAAGTCGTTTGTGTAGCAATTGAAAAAAGGGAAACGGAATAAATGGGCAGCAATGGAGCTGAAACTACTTAAGTGGGAAAAGATACGATCTGTAAATCAAAACTGCAAGTAAGGTTAACCTCCTTTACTGCGATCAGTGCCGCTTTCAATGCGGGTTCCCGCTATCAACTGGTAAACTCGGGTTGGAGAAAAACTTTATCGAACATGCGAATGGAAGATGGTCCGCTGAGCCACCACACAATAATTATGGCCCAAATTAGATAGGAGAAGATTGTGCGACTGGAGCGCCCACAGCTTGATGCGGACCCACGGCAGTCGCATAGGTATACGATCGTATGCCATTTTTTGTCGTTCCCGCGATGTGAAAAATCGAAAGTGTAGAGCATTATCTACTAAACCAGTGCCCACATTGGCCAGGCCCGTCAACATACGTTCCTTCAAAACATTCTTGAGCAACTGGACGAATTGCGCATGGCTATAATTTTTGACCCTGAGAAAAGGAAGAGTATAAGGAACCTTTATTACGTTAGACAAGGGAGCCATGACGGCCTAAGTGTGCCTACTACCAATATTGGCAGCCATGAGAATCTAACCTAACCTAGGATATGCTGAAAACTTGGCTATTACATAGGTTTCGTTGCAAAGGAATTAGAGAAAAGGATGCTAACTGGTCGTGATAATTATATACATATCTGTGTTCGTATGGAATAGTAGCTTATGCCGAAGTGCTGGCTTTAGTATAATGCGGCATTCGCAGCATACGATTGCAAATGGCTCACTGGCGCCGAGCCGTTGAAGAACTTTTGGCAAATAAATGTGCAAGAAATAGTTCCAATACTAGCAAGTCAATATTCTTATTAAGTCGTTTAAAGAATAAAGGGAATGCCGCATTATACTAAAGCCAGCTTCCCGACATAAGCTACTATTACATAAGAACACAGATATGTACATACTATACATATGGACTTAGTTGCGCAATAGGCCGGATCACCTTACAAGAAAACAAAAATAATTTTGCAAGGCAATTTAGGAAAAAAAATCTGCTGAACTTAGGGGTTGCTTTTTTAAATTTGTCAGTGGCACCCACTACTGGAACAATCGAAATGTTTCCTTAGCAAAAGTTTAATGATTTTTGCGGAGGTTTTATTTACTCATATTAGGGTGGTACGCTAGGATGATAAGAACTGAGATCTCGTGGGTAAGTACTAGAACCGGGTACTTCATTTACGTACTACCGTGGAAAAAAATTGTCTCCTCGAGATAAGAACATCGATATACTAGACTTTGAATGGCGAAGATACGACGAAAAATTTAAAAAGGCGACCCCTAAGTTCAGCCAAAAATAAATATTTTTAGAAAATTGACTTACTTACAAAAGCTTTAGATTCGAAGGTGTACGGCGATATTTTTTTTTTTGGTACGGTCTATTAAGCAGTGGATAATTTATTTGAAACTGTTGTGAACTTTTTAGATATCTTTATTTTTCAGTGGCGTAAGCCGACTACTTTTTTGTTTAAATTACCGTACATTCTATTATGAGTCATATGCATAAGATTACCAGTTGTCATTCTTTATACGAATCTAAACTGGAAGGATACCTATTTTCATCGATTTGAGAGATACCGCATATAGTCACATAGGCAAGAACTATCAGCCTCATTTCGAGTATCATGTCGAGTGCAACTCGTTTTTGGAGAGTCTAGTCGTATTGAAAATTAAATGGGATTGCCTAAAATTTCGACACGAGTAGTGTACTAAGACGGAAAAACTTGTCAGCGATGGATAGTTTTCGACGAATTTCGTCGACAATGCCAATGCTGTCGAGTCGTGATATTTAGTTTAGTAATTTACGACTTACGCAATGAGGGTGTATCACTCAGCCCTAACATTGAATGACCTACTTCGAGACCACTGGTCTTATCAGACGCCAACTTTTATTCTAGAAGGATAAGTCAATGGAATCATGAGATACTAAGACACCCGTACCTGTAGCTTTTATTCTCCGCTCTTCAAGCGAGAAAAGTGGACTGGAAGTTACCAGCTTTCGAGACGAGAAACTGCATAGCCAACGGCCGCTCATCCGAGCGCTAATTCGGACTACGGATGGATCAAAAGACCGATGACCCAACACAGCATTAGACTTGCGTGATCGCTCTAGGTTTCGGAAAAATTTAAAAACTGATCAGCGACATATTAAGTTCTTCAGCTGTCTTGAAGTTAATTTAGTGATATTACTTGAGTATAAATTATTAATTTTAATTATCGATTTAAACAAAAAAAAAGTGAATCTAAGTCATCGATAAGGTTGGAATGTTTATTATATTCAAGGCTTTTAGAGAACGAAAGACGGTATTAAGGGCTATATAGGCATTAAAGGCCTGCAAATGTTGAACTATAAAACATAGCGGCATGTGTCACATCATGCAAGTGCCAGTTCATGCTTTATGTCGCTCATTCATTACATTTAAGGGTATTCTCGAAGTTTTGCACGTAGCACGAATGGTATGAAATGCTGGCATCCC